AAAAGGTTATTCCTAGTGCATTCGGAATAGTTTCCAATAGACAGACGCAATTGATTTTGACTGTAAGCATTGTATCGGAATGCGCATGCTCCACGAACAAAGCAAATATAACTCAAAACAACTTTATTGCAAACGCAGCTAAATAAAAATCTTTCTAACAAGTTTGCCTAACATTTTTAGGCCTTGACAGGCAATATCATTTACCTACTCTAATGTTGCGATAAAGATTAGGCATATACTCACCCGTTTATCATTTAAAAGCCATTAAACAAAGCTAATCCTTCTTAAATGGGCCGGATTACGGACTGGTAGATTTATGTTTTGCTGTTATTGGAACCGTTGAAGTTGTTATTTTCGAATTTACTGCTACAGTTAGTTAATCGAAACGATAGGCGAAAAACAAATTTACTGAGATTAAAATGGCTGCATTAATTCCCAACTCTCTCTGCAAAACGCAAATTAAATGTCGACGTTATAAAAAATCTATAATCACAGTGTGCGGGGTTTTTTAACAAACGGCTGCTGCAGGCGAATTTTCAAAAAAAATAAGTGGTTTCAAAAATAGCAGTATAGGATTATTCTACGTAGAATACGAAATATAAAGAAAAAGTATCTATTGGTTGTTTTTTTTTTCATTCGCGTCGATAAACTTAAAAAATAGAACTTCGTGAAATACGTCTAAGATGCCTTGAAATCAAAACCAGAAAACCATAGTATGTACCAAATTTGAAGAAAATTTACCATTATCATTAATATAAAATTACTGCTATTAATCATTATTTGTATTTTACTTTTTTACGGTACAAAATCTTTCAAATGTCCAAGTAGGTGCTTTACTCCAAGTACTTTTCTTGTTACTACAGCCAACAGTTTTTGTTTTCATGGCATCCTAGATGAGCGCCACAAAATTTTATTTTCTGTTCTTTTATAAAGTAAAGTAAAAATAATCAATATATTTTCTTCGAATATAGTATAGGTACTACTATTTTTGGGGACGTAGAATAGTTCCAGTCTATAGTCCAGTCCAGTCAATAGTCTTATTTTTCCATAAAAAATTCCCTAGCGTCTTTTTCTGAAAAAAAACGGACCCGTATAAAAAAACTAAGAGAATTAGAAACCAATGATCTTTTAAGGGCACTATTCATAAAAAGAGGGCGGGTCTACTCGTATTTAAAGGGTTGTTGTCACGAAAAACCAGACACACTGTATTAAATAAAAATTATGGAAAGGCGACCATATGAATTTCTGGTCTCTCTTACTAAATGTGTTTTTCACATAATTAATCAGCAGGTGATAATATAGATTTTTTTACTTTTTCGCAATATTTTCAATTTCCTAAATACAAAAAATAACAAAGATTGAATCAATTTATATGTAAACAAATAATGTCCTAACTCCAATAACTGACAAAAACTCAGCGATCAGATTTCAAATGACACTCAGGTGAGTCAAACTGCATGTGCAAATCAAATTTCCCACTCCACTAAAGAACGTCAGATTTGTTTGTTACAAATACAATACAGTGGCGTACACTGGCGTAAATATTTTCCTTTTTCTGAGGGGTAGTATGAGGCAAACTTATAAGCCTCTGAATTTTCTAGACTGTTGATGTATTTAAATGGTATTTGTAATAAAAAATTGCCATGCATATATTTTAATTTTTTTTTTTGTAAAACGAACAGTTTTAAAATTCTCTTTGATTTATTCAATTATGGTAAAATTTTAGAATAAAAAAATGGTAAGACGATAAGTCGATTTGTTTTTCGAATAAAATGGAAGACACCATTTTCCCTACAATATGAATTAAATGATTATTATAATGTCTCTGCCATTGATTGAATTTATTAAATGCGAAGTACAAGTACAGATCCAACTTAAATGATTACAAGCCGCATAACCGGCATTTTCACCGGCTGTGATTGGTTTAATTTTTCACGAGATTCTGTTCAACCAATCAGCGATCGCATTATCCCGAGCATAGACGTAACGGTTTGTCATTGTTCATTATAAACGAATCATTAATATTGGGAATTGTCGTTACCAGTACCAATTCTGCAAGATGGTTGCCTAAGCGCTGTATCATCAATCTATATTTTGCCCCTCATACAAACCAACCACCAGCCGCCGCTGATCTACCTATTCGTACTGTTGCGATCCGAATTATGCATTCACTTGTTTATCAATCAGATACCATTAAACAAAAGGTAATCCTTCTTAAATGGGCCGGACTACGGACTGGTAGATTTATGTTTTGCTGTTATTGGGACCGTTGAAGTTGTTATTTTCAGTTTTACTGCTATACCTAGTTAGTTAATTGAAACGTTAGGCGAAAAACAAATTTACAGGGATTACCATGGTTGCATTCATTCCAGCTGTATCGGCAAAATTCATTTGCTCAATTTTGTTTATGGACATTTTATGGGCCGGAATTGTACGAAATGCTTTTATCTCAGCTTGGATCAACTGAAATAACAAACTATTGAGTTGTTTTGGTACTTACAGAAAACATGTTTATGTTAATGCCTCTAAAAATATACTGTTTGTTGTGTATAATTTCCAAAATACCAAGCCATTAGCAAAACAGCCCTTGATAACAAAAAAAGAAAAAGCGAAAACAGAATAATAAGTATAATGAACCTTTTTCAACTGTATTTTGAGGAGAAATTCATCATTTTTAGTACTATTATAAGTGTAATGAAAATTTTCAGTAATTTTCAGGAAATTTGCACGAGTACGAGTATAATTTAAAATAAGCTTGCACATACAGGGCGTTAAGTTTGACTTCCTTAATTTTAACAGACGATAGAATACATTAAAATAAACAAAACCAACTTTATATGACATGGGTCATAAACTCGACCATTTCCGAGAAAAAAATTATCAAAATCTCTTGATCCACAAATGTTCGATTAATTAAGGAATATTGACATAACTGCGTGCATAGAATACCATAATACAATGTTCATCACTTTTTTAACTTGTTTATGCTTAATTTTAATAATTAGCGTTGTAATAAATTTAAAATTCGATAAAATTCATATCGAGCAATGTGACAACGTCGCGGCAATTAACACGAGGTACTAACCAGCAATACACAATTCAGTTGGTATCTGGAATTTGACCGTAACGAATTGTTTTTTGCACACCACTATTTCCTTCTCTTGAGATGTTTCTCCTTGCTTTTTTAAATTATTTACCATACGTGATAATTCTCCAGCGAGTGCGCGAAAATTGGATTAGAAGGTGTCGTGTGTGCCTCGTAAATGGTGCTGGACATTTTAAGCATATATAACTGCAAAAAAATTGTTTTGAAATTTACTAAATGTTTCACAATAATAGTTGTTTACATTATTTCCGCAGGACAAGTCTGACGCGTGCACAAGCGGTCGGCATCAGCTGTGCAGCTTAAATCAAGCGCTGTTGTCACGTTGTGATGAAACTCCCCAGTATTAATACTTGCTGTATTTTGAAAACTGTTAATCTTACCGTCCTGTAATATACAACTTTTTTGTTCATTTGTGATTACCCTATCTCGCGTTGAAGTAATGGCAGTCAAATTCTTACACCCTGTATACATGATATTCTATATAAGTCGACAAAAAATGTTTCAAATAATAATTAAATAAAAATCAATTTATTGGCATTTTAAAATTAAACCAGGACCAGGTGTCCCATTTCTCGTAGGTGCCACCTAACCTCACTTTTTCAGCTTGAACACTCCAGACATTATTGATTAAAATCTACACTGCAAAAAATTAAGGTAAACTATTTTTAACGAAAAAAAATATATATATCATTTCTTGGAAATATGTCGAAATAAGTCGATGGATGTAATATTTTTATAAGAATTTACAGAAATGAAGAAAATACACTTCAACTTTTTTATTCTCATCATGTTTTATGAAGTATATAAAATCAGAATTTTTCAGTAAGGTGGTTATAATTCAATTCATTAGCAGTAACTTTTTAGTCATAAGTATTCGTAGATATCATTTTTCTTTTTTGTGCATCATAATACCGGCAAGCACCATGTTGACTTGCGTTCATGACAGTTTTGTGTATAATTAGTAGAATTTTGCCTAAGATAAGTACATTGCTTCATAAACTTTTTAAATGTGATCTTGATGTTACCTCATAAATATTACGCGTTAAGCTTTTTCATAACCTTTGTGTATGTACCAGCATATAGAGGGTGTCCCAAAAGTAACGCAGGATTTGAAATGTTCGCCATTTTCGTTCCGAAGAGTTGACAGTATTGTGCAGGGTAACATGTAGTAAACACGTTGCTGTTAGACAAAATGAAGCGCTATACTACAGATGAACGTGTGAGTGAAGATTGTGATTCATTACAAGTACGGAGAGTGTGTAGCTGAGACTGTGCGCAAATTACGTGGATTTTCAGTACGAGGAACGAGAATGAGACAACTACGAAAAAAATTGAGAAATGTTTTGTTTTTCTAGTGTATCTCAGTTTATTACGTATTACAAATATTGGAATATTTTTTATTTTGACTGTACACTGACCGAAATTGTAAAATGAAGATGCTAAAAACATATTTTTATATTGTTTGAAAACTATTTAATATTATGCAATTTATGATTTTATGAATTTAAAAAGCGCTGTTTTTTTTTCACTGTAATAAGATGACTATAAAATAATAAATATTTACTCCTAAAGAAACATCTAAAATAGTTTTTCAGCAGTTTGTAAGTAAATTGCTTGATACAAATATTCAAACGGAATTGAAAGAAAATTGTGTCCTACTCTGCTACTAAAATATGTACATTTTCTCTTGAAACACTGCAATTTTTTTATATCACCTTCTACTCAAACTTAATAATTAAAAAATACACCAATTAGTATACAATAATTTATTTTTTTTTTGGTTACAAAATTAATCAGTTGAAATAATTTAAAGCAACAATTAAAGCACTTAGAGTAAATTTAAGTACGAACACTTACTTCAGCTGAGTACAGTTTTTTTTTAATTTTGTCGATGTCACTTTTTTTCGTAATATTTATTACTGTCATCTGCGAAATTGTCTGTGAGCTTTAGGAAAAATTCTAGGCTTCCATCGCAGCGACAGTAGTCTTTAACATGGTCAAAGTTAATAGAAACAGTACCACCAGGTACCAGCAGAAACGTGTCGTCAGACCTACACCTTCCGAAGAAACTTCTCGCTACCCTCGACATTTTCTTCCTTATAAAACGTATCCTGTACGAAAACCTATCATTGTCCTCTGAAAATCCCTGAAAAGTCACATAAAACCTCATTTCGCCAATATCCATGTCTATGTCCCAGTACACATAAAAAAATTTGTTGTAGGCATAGATCAGGATAATGTTCATTGAACTCGCACCGTCCGTGAAGTTTGTAACAATTAAAGAAGCCTCTGTTCCGAAAATAACGTTCAGGTAGTGACTTTCCCTACAGTGTTGCTCAATTTTACTCTCAGGCCCTGCCCACAGGCAGTCTTGCAGGAAAGACAAAGGACAGGGCACGGATCTGTACACGCAGATACCTTCATGGGACTTGATATGTATCCCTTTCACCTTAGAATCGCATCCTTCGTGGCGGTACTGGCAGGGGATGTCTAACACACTGTACAGCTTCTCCAAGACGTGGTTGCGAGTTGGTATCTTTGGCTGTCGACAGACCGGGCATTTGTCCACTTTATTGAAACATGTCGCGCACATTGCGTGCAAGTTGCAGCACTGTCTCACTGGAGCAGATATGTACATGTAGCAAATTGGACATTCCAGTTCCATCAAGAGATCCTCTGGTGTCATGAGAACATCCATTTCCTAAAGAAAAAGGAAGGTGATTAGAAATCTTTGAAGGAATAACAATAACAGAGCCTCACGGCAAAAAAATAAATCTTAATTTGGCCATAGACTATATCCACTGGTTTTTTGAGGTCGCTGAATCCGAATTCGGTGTAGGTAATACACTTTCTGATTCCGGATACTCAAATACTGAGAAATTTTATTTTCGGAGACGTGGTTAAATTATTTTTCCATTTTTAATGTTATTTAAAGGTCAAATATTCCTCTCAGGTTGATGTGTCATCAAAATTGGAAATCACCAGATGGTGGTACCTAGTGACCCAAAAAATTTTTGCTTTCGTGTAATGTAAGTCCGACACTGTGCATCTTGTGCACGTGCGTTCTGTGTTGCAGTATTACATATCCGGCGTATAAAACTAACAGTACCGTGTGGCGTGTACTAAGGGAACAATTATTATACCCCTATCATGTACAAAGTGTTCAGCTCCATGTGGAATTTTGCCAGTGGTTTCGACATCAAATAGGACAAGATCTGGATTTTACAAGCAAGGTGCTTTTTACGGATGAATGTTGTTTTACTAGAGACGGCATACTAAATTTTCACACCATTCGTTATTGGCGTGATGCAAATCCTTACGATGTATAGAGATTTCAGTTTCAGCAACGGTCCTGATGAGATACTAATCCGAAATAGCCATGAACATGAACTTCGTTAAATAGACACCGGATTCGGATTCAGCGATCCCAAAAATGTATGGGTATGGTGGTCTAGTCTATCACACATTGATTTTTTTCTTAATAAAGAACTTTATTAATATTCTTTATTGTTCAAACTTACCTCAAGGTACTGTTAATATCACTGATACAACGAAAAATTGAACTACTTATGTTACTGTGAACTGTACAGCAATTAATAAAATGTTATAACAGTTTTTGGTTTAAATAGACAATAGAGCACTAATCCCATCCATAATTTCCGAGATTTTTGTAATTAGGATTAAATTAATTGTCAAATTACCTACCTCTATTTCAGGTAATTTTAATTTAATAAAGGTAATAAATAATTATAATCCCTAATTTCATTTCAAGCATTTGTGTAATTAAATAAGAAATATCTGATGAGATTAAATTTTGCCTAAAAATTATTTTTGTTTAGTAACAATAAGCTCGTCCAGAAATATTAGATTTATAACTTATTTCTATATTTTCCGTAAGCACCGAGATCCCTAAATATGTGGTGAAAAAAATCGGGTCAATAACTTTAATATTAGCCATGGTAAATAATTTCAAGGTTCGTAAATTATTCACAGAGCACATGTGACGTCATATCACTCGACTAGCCCTGTTTATTGGTATTTTTCCACTTGTAACAAAATCGAATAAACCTTAAAGACATCTTAGAAAATTAAAGATGATTTGGTGGATTTTTATATTTTCTTTAAATGATCTTTAATATCACACACGTTTTGAAAAATCACAAATAAAAAATTATGGTCACCTTTCTAGTCAGTAAAAACCGCTTAAGCCTTCTATATCTATATCACAATTTTGATTATTATTTTTCCTTAGCGTTGGTTCATAGCCAACAAGTAAATGTGTCAAATTTAAAACCAATCGCTTGACCAAAAAAAAAGGTATAGCAAAATATTAATTTGAAAACATATTTAAAATGTTTTTTTTGCGAGTTAGGTTATGATTATTTTAATAGTTATTTGTTTAACTAGGCAGTAAGTACAAGATTAAAAGACGCAGCTGGTATTTTAGACGAGGCGCATCCGAGTCTATTAAAGCAGCCAAGACATTAAATCTACTTTACAAGTTAAACACATTTTTTCTCCGATCAATTTTAATTTGATCATAATAGCAAACAAAGCTATTTATTTTATATTATAAAAATAGTATGTTACTTCTTTCATGAATAATTTCATCAGGTCGGCTGTGGTTGCTATGAGACATGAGTTATTAAGTAAATAACTTAGGTACGTAGTAATCGCCATATTTTCCCTATTTAAGTCCTAAAAAATAACTATTTATTATTTGAGCGGGAGTTCATATAGTCCAGTCGGCAGAGGCCGAAGAGTTACTGTTGGTGGCATTTCCTTGATTACTCGGAAATAATTAAACAGGAATACTTTAAATGATGAGTACAATAACAGGTTAATTTGCTGACAAAGTATTTTATCAGGAAAAAAAGTTATTAACAATTTAATCGTGAAAAAATTTTTTTTTAGTAGTTTTCTTTAAATAGTCTCAGCGGGATGACTTTGTACGAAAAAATGCTTAGGACATGATTTTGTTCGTAATGAAAATAGCTACAAAATGGCGGTGGTCCGATTACGAAATTTTTAATAACAAAGCCGTGAGAATGAAAAACGGTATAAAACGTCAATTTTTTAAAGTTGCTGTAAAAATGTCAATTATATATAAAAAGTGATAAAACTTTCGAAAACTATAGTTCAATATATATACAATAATGACGCTAAAGTCGAAAATCAGGAGAGCCATACTTTTTGTTCTATAAGGTTTTATACATCCATCGGCATCTGAAACTCGAAACTTTCAAATTTGTTTGAAGTTTTGCTGACACTTGAAATTTGGTACACACATAGTGTAAATATGCAGAAACCAAAAGCAATTCGCAAAATTCAATTATCTTCATTTTTGCAGCTTTGGTAAGGTTTTATACATCACCCTAGTTTTATACGTCATCGTTTTTTAAATTTTTGAACGTATGTATATGTATATTTATAAAATATTTCATAACGGTAGATTAGCCAGCACAATTACCTACAATCTAAAAAAGATATATTATCTTCGTTTAGATCCTAAGCTATTTAACATTTTGCGCCCATTAGTCATACTCGTACATTATTCAACATATCAACATAAAACAAAAATGTACCGGTGGGGTAAACCTTTAACTGTAAGTAAACTATTGTTTAAATTTACTGTTGCATATTTCTAATAGTATACAAGCGCCGAAGAGCGGAGCTCGCGCTCGAAAATGAAAAATTAAAGGTTTACCCACACGTACGATTTTGTTTTATGTTGATATGTTGAATAATGCACGACTACGGCTAACAGGAGCAAAATGTTAAGTAGCTTAGGATCTAAACGATGAAAATTATTATTTTTTTAATTGTAGGCAATAATTGTGCTGGTTAATCTACCTACCGTGATGGAATATTTTATAAATATACATATATATTTTTCCAAAAATTAAAAAAAAAACGGTGACGTAAAAAACTAGGGTGACGTATAAAACCTTACCAAAGCTCCAAAAATGAAGATAATTGAATTTTGCAAATTGCTTTTGGTTTCTGCATATTTACACTATGTGAGTACCAAATTTCAAGTGTCAGCAAAGCTTCGAACAAATTTGGCAAAGTTTCGAGTTTCAGATGCCGATGAATGTATAACACCTTATAGAACAAAAAGTTTTGCTCTCCTGATTTTCGGCTTTAGCGTCATTATTGTATATATATTGAACTATAGTTTTCGAAAGTTTTATCACTTTTTGTTTATAATTGACATTTTTACAGCAACTTTAAAAAATTGACGTTTTATACCGTTTTTTCAATCTCACGGCTTTGTTATTGCAAATTTCGTAATCGGACCACCGCCATATTGTAGCTATTTTTATTACGAACAAAATCATGTCCTAAGCATTTTTTCGTACAAAGTCATCCCGTTGAGTTATTTAAAGAAAACTACTAAAAAAAATTTTTTTTCACTATTAAATTGTTAATAACTTTTTTCCTGATTAAATACTTTGTCAGCAAATTAGCCTATTATTGAATTGATCATTTAAAGTAGGCCTGTGTAGTTATTTCCGGGTTATCAAGGTTTGACACAGGTCGAACCTCTACTAACTGGACTAATAGTAACTCCGCTAGAAACCATTGAATCAGCAAAGCAAATAGAGTGTAACTTATTACCAGAAAAATCGAAGATGTATCAGCAAACATATAAAAAATTTATTGATTACCGCACTGAGAATAATATTATGTCTTTTACAGAAATGTACATTTTACATTTTTTAGTACATTTTTCTGAATTAAGCAAAAGTATGAAATCTTCTTCATTATGTCAATATTTGCGATGCTCAAGAGCTACTTTGAATATCTACAACAACATCGATATTAGAAAGTATCTAAAATTAAAAACATTCTTAAAACGGCAATCGAATGGATATCGTGCTAAAAAATCACGCTTTTAGAAAATGAACAAATTAAAAAAATTCTAATGAAGGTCCCTGATGATACGTATTTAGGTACAAAGGTAATAAACAAAATATTTTTATGAACGAAGAATACTGACTATTATTTTAGATGTAAGCGAATATTTAGAAATAAATAGTAACAATTTTTTTTAAGTAAGTATTCAAATGGTAAAGCATATAACCAATTAATAAAAATTCATACATTTGGGAAAATGCCAAAACAAGTTGCTGCGTTTATCAGACTGAAGGATGTTCACGAATATACCGGACATTGTTTCCGTAGAACTTCTGCTACACTATTAATAAATTCAGGAGCTGCTATCACAATTTTAAAAATGTATGGTGGTGATCTAATAAATAATTCAACCATTTTGGAGGATTCAGTAGTCCATAAACCATCAACTAGTGAAAACTTCAACCTACATCAACGAAGTAAATGTTTCAAAACAAACATGACAAGGGATATTTCTTACAGGCTGTTCTAATATCATTACAAATGTTTACAATAAATAAAATCACTTTCGTTAAAGAACAAATTTTAATTTTTAATTATGAAAAAAATTCAAACCGTTCAGCATTATTTCTCTTAAATCTTGCAATTTTTCTATTTCAGTCTACTAATTTGAATTTTGCAGTCATAAAGTCAGTGACATCTAAGATGCGTTTTCAATTTCTGTACAAATTACACAGCCGTTTTCTAAACCAAGGTATAGTTAAATGTTTTTTAAAGGTAAATAGTTTTGTTTTCAGCAACAATATCTATGAGTGACGAAAGTTACAATAATTCTCACCA